GGCTTCTCCTTTGTGCGTAACTCACCCAAACACAAGGGAAGCATCAACTTTGCTGGTGCTGATCCACTGGTGAACAAAACCAGGGATATTTCAGTGATTGGCGGTACCGGCAACTTCTTCATGGCTCGAGGGATAGCCACTTTGATGACTGATGCATTCGAGGGGGAAAGTACGCGCCGAGATAAATCTGTACAAGTGTTGGAACCAATTTGTTTATGGCTCTTGTTTTGGAGTTTTTAGTTTACTTTGCTAACGAACGTGTGTTGAATTTGAGCTTCTGAGGTTTGAGAATTCAGATTTTGAGTTGTAAGTCTTACTTATAAAGAACATGTTTCAGAGTTTGAGTTTAGGGACATTCTACCATGCCATCGCATCCACTATAGAGGGGATCAAAATAAGCCATCCATATAACTTTTCGCTTTAACCAGAACGGGCAGTTATTTTTTTACAAGATTGATGAAAGGAAAATATCTCACCATATTTACATCTGTCTCAAGAGAAAATTGGGAATCTTTGATCCCCTGAGGCATATGAAATAATACTCCTTTTAAGGGGTGGAATATACTGTGCTCCGTTGAATGCAGCAGCCCGCAATATATTTAGAGGTCCGAAATCAACCGAGTAAGCCTTTTGGAAACCATCCAGGATTGCCATCATTGTGACATTTGCTGATTTCCTCTCTGCTTCATATTTCTTCAACAACAGTACCTGCATAAGATTAGAACTACATTCGTCAGATGATTCAATTCGACCATCATCATCGGATTATCAAAAGGAAAATATAGAAAAACCAACCCATAGTCACCGGAATGTAGTGTGACACTAAGCCTGCTTATTTGGTACAGAAAACCAAGTATCAAGAAATTCACACTTCAAAACAACCAAGGCAAACAAAATGGAATCCACTTGATCGCTCATATTACATTTACTACTATGCATACCACTCAGGAAACATGATTTCTGTAACTGACACACTAGCAATGGTTTCACCTTAGTTTATTTTCTTTCTTTTAAAAGATGTGTTAGACTTAGATAGCACCTTCATGTTACTACTTGGGCATATTCAACAAATCATCTAGTTTGTGATTTTGTAATATGTTGATCTCATAGTGAAAGTTTTACACGTTTTACAATTACAATCCGGATTTTTATTTATGATTTGAATGATTACTAATAGATCTCCATGTCTCTCGAGTAAACAAACACACCCCTCGTACAAATAAAGATACTACATTATGCACGTTTTGTGGCAACCAATAACTGACTTTTCATAAAAAGAATTAAAAAGGAAATCACCCACCTCAGCAATGTCTGTTCCCACTGCAATTCCCTCAGAAATGATTCTTGAAAGAGCAAATGCATCTCCAAAACCCAGATTAACTCCTTGCCCAGCCAAAGGATGAACAGTGTGTGCTGCATCGCCGATTAGAACCACATGCTTTGACGCATAGTCATTGGCATGCATCAAAGATAACGGAAACACCATTCTTTCTGATGCCAACTTCACCACTTTCGGTGGAACTTTGAAGCACTCATCAGGAGATAAATTCACGTCTGTTTTAAACCAAGAAAATATGCCTCCACTTCCTAAGATGCTCGACTTAGGATGAGGACCAAATCCATAATCCAGCGCATAATTCACATCTTTCACAAAATCTTCCTCAGCCAATGATTTACGATCAGTTGCTTCTTTTGGGTTCATAGTCCAAACAATGTTACTGAAATTATCACCTATTGGCAAAAGTGCAATTGGCCCAGCAGGTAGAAATCGTTGCCATGCACATTGATTTTCTACACTATGTTCTACAGTACAAATGATTGCATTCTGTGAGTAGTTCCATCCAGTTGTCTTAAATCCTGCCAACTCCCTAACACGTGATTTGGACCCATCAGCTCCAACCTGCAATAAGCTCTATGTGACTTGATGCCAATCAATAACTTACAAACGAGATATGTTAAACTTTCGCACTGCTAACAGACAATTCTGTCATCCTACTTTCTATTAAAGGATAATACAAATTCTTCAATTGCAACTGAAAATTACCACCAATTTTGCATACAGACTGTTGCCATCACTCAGATCCAGCTTTGCTAAGTTTCCCCGCTCATTCAACCCCGATGATGTGCTATCCACCCCAATGGATAAATTTCTTGGCTGTAAAGTCATTGAAGACAATCTGGAAGGGTAGATAGTCTTCTGGAAATCTGTATCCTGTCAAAGCTTAACCTTCTTAGCTGTAGAAAGTATTGAGACTTATATGCCGTACATGAAAATTGTCAAAAACAACAGAGAGTATTAAGAGAAGAATGCAAGGTGGTTTAAAGAATTTTTTCATCAGGAAAAAACACGTGAAGAAAAGATATCTTCAAGGAAAAGCAAATCTATAATAATAAATCTGAAGGCACAGCCACCAAAAAACTAGGGAAAAACAACAACAATCAGAACTGAGAAACTACATGAGTCACAAGTGATTAAGTGTTTTATTTGGAACGAAATAAAAAAGTTAACCATTCCGCTATGCTAGATACCTGTATACATGACAAAAGAGAACTGTGCAGTACTTTATTCTCCACTACACACCTGATCATAAGACAAAATCAGCATCATATTCTACTAGTAATAAATGAATTACCAAAAAAATAATAACAATCTACTTCTTCTTACCCTAGAGTGTCTTTATGCACATCTCTTGCATTGTACTTTGTATACCCTAAGCCAGTATAGTCCCAAACCTACAAAAGATCATGAAGGAATAAATTCAACCTCAAATCAATGCATCGCATCATCAATCGTATTGAAAAATAGCATGTCAATGGGAGGTGGAATATGTTGCAGTGCATTTTCAGAAGAAAGAAATAAAAATATGAACGCACAGCTCTTAGGGAACATTGAAGAGTAAGAAACAATATAAACCCGCATAACAGAGTTGGGAAAATATATGAGTTAAAACAAAAACTAAATGACAGACAACTGAACAATTTGGTAGGCATAGTGCATTGAGATCATGATTTATCATTTCATTCATTAAAGGATTAGCAATTTGAATCAGATCTTGTAAGTCAATACGCAACATAAACAAAATGTGAACTACTGTTGTTGATCAAAATATGCATTTGATGAAAATATGCTATAAGAAACTGGAAAAGTCAATCACCTGCATTTGATCAAAATATGCATGTCGATGCTGTTCAACATATTTCCAAGCACCAATATCTGCAAAATTCAACTGTTGTTATTGCCAGAAAAATTTCAACATTTGTTTCTGCCCAAGGAAGAAGTCACACTTCTGGAATGGTTACAATCAAAATAGAGAACCATGGTTGCTACATCCTACAAATGGGCAATACAAGCTAGCCAGATTTGTGCAGGGAAATCTGATTTTAGCTCTCTTAACACAATTTCCAAACGAAAACATGAGAAATGGATGTTGGTACAGTACATAGAGAAGAATCACATATATGTCAAGTCTGATACCTTTGAAGAGAGATATAGTCGCAGGTGTTACTGTACTGACCCTTGGATCAGGAGGGTCTTCTTTCTTGATGCTGAGTCCCTTCAATAATGCAGGATTGCTATCAATGATGGCAACTTTCAAGTGCTTGGTCAGTGGCATTCTAGCTAAAAAAACAGAATAAAACAATAGATGGAAAATTTTAGTATGTCAGTGTAGAAATGTGCTACAGAACAAAGCAATTCAACAAAAAATCTTCTCTTATAAAAAAAAAATGAATTTATTAAGTACATTTCATGGATTTTGGTTGAGAAACAAAAGCATAGCAGAATACACGTTTCTGTGCACTACCACCTAATCACTTTTTTCACCGTTGACAACGTTGCCAAGTTTCCATTCTATCCAACACAAAGGTGAGAATCTAGTCATGCAAAACCTACAAAAATATCTTGAGCAGATGTCTAGTTAATGCAAAATCACAAAATCAACTCTAACTGTTCGACTGACCTCAACAGCTTTTGATTTAAAAACCACATAGAGCGTAATTACATCAGGTTAAAAACAAATATTCAAGAAGTCATGAGATGATACCAATAGTAATTGAAACTAGAGTTTGTCAAAAAGAAACACAATAGACTACGTACCCAAGGAACAAGCAAGGGCCATGCCAACCATGCCCCCTCCAACAATAGCAAGGTCGTACGGGTGGACTTCATTGCGAAAACTCTGTTGCCCCACATGATCCTGGGATTTCAAAAGAAACCATCAAATTAAACATTGGAAGAATATTAATATTCTTGCAAGTTAATCACTTTACTGGGCAAATAAATTGATTGGAAAAGAACAATTATTTCCGGTTCAACAAAGCAACAAACAAAAACCCAATGTAATAAAATATGAAGACTTTACATTGCTGGATTGGACACTATGGGAGCTGGAAACTTTAGTAGCTGCATCCGTACATAAAGTCCTCTGTGGAAATTTCAATCTGCTGATATGTTCAGCAAGCCTTCTTCTGATGATCAAGCTGTTATCAGCAGATCACATTAGACAAAACCAAAACACTAATTATGAAATAAATGCATAGGGAAGCAACTTAATCTGTCAAATTTGAACCTCAATTTCCATAGCTAATCGCATATCAGCAAAAACACAAAAAAGAAAAAGGCATAATAAGCAGGGGCTAGGGCACATGATTGAAACGCTGCGTTTTTCTAATTCAACAAGAAGAGTAGGGCAAATGCTTACCTGTTCATTTTCGAATTGCACGAGCTCACTGGTTCAGAGTTCAACTTCAGAGAGAGAGAGAAAGAGAGAGTCACTGAATCAGAGAGACGGTGCTTGGTTTTGTTTGTCCTTGTTTATACGAGATGTCGTGTAATAGAGTGTGAAGGAACTCATTCTCAAAGGAATAAAACGACGTGTCGTTTGAGATCAAATTTGAATTTCAATGAAATAGGAGGGGTCAAATGGAGTTTTGGAAAGTAGATAAAACGGTATTGATGTCTTGGCGCTTTTTAGCTCCTCCCATTGCTTATCTCTATTGCCACTCTGAGTCTCAGAGCCTCAACAGTTCCAAGCCCAGCGCCAAAAGCTTCCACAGAAACAGAGAAAGAGAGAGAGTGTGTGTGACAGAATGCGAAGCATAACGCTCTCAGAGAGCGTTCTGGGGGTGCATTCACTGCCTTCACCATTTCCTAAACCTCTCAAGCCATCATCTTCCTCATGTTACTTGCTTCCTTTCAAATTACGGTCCAAGAAGCTCACTTCGAAGCTTTCTTTTCCACACCCAAGTTTCGTTTCCTCGAGGTGAGTACAATTCATGAACTCACATCTCAATTTTTCCTAAGGCTGCTTTAAATTTTGAAGTTTTAGTGGAAAATTTGCCTTGTTCTATTCCTGGGTTGTTCTTAGAAAAGTGGTGAGTTAGAATGAAGCACCTGAATTTTTTAGTGAAAGCAGGATTTTTGTGTTTCAGGTATTCATGTAAGTGGAATGCGAACACCTGTGAGGAATGGTTTCGACGTCTTTTACAAACTTCTGGAAATTTAGATGACCTGGTAATGAATCTTCTTTAAGCCCATAATCTTTTTCTCCTTTCTGAAAATTCGAGACCATTTTTTTTCTTTTTTAAAATTTTTTTTAATTCCTAATGCAGCATTAATTGAATGTTAATTTTAACGCAGGAGCTACACCACCTTAATTACGAGAAATGCAGGGTGACCACAAACCCAATTGACATTGAGGATGATTGTGTTGCTTTAGATAAAGCACTACCAAAGAAGAATTTAAAAAAGAATTGTCACATGGATAGAGAGATCATGACTCATAATTCATTCTCTCATTTTTGGAAGGCTATTCTGCTGTTTGGATTTCTTGCACTTCAAGGCTCTGAACCGGCTTTTGCTATATCTGATCTTGCTAGTGGTTTACCATCAATTCCTTTTCTGGGGGACCTTGGTGATCTTAGCACAGGTTTTGCTTCAGTTAGGAAAATCTCCCTCTAACTTCTGTAACCTGGCATTTTTGTTGTTGTAAGTGAAGCCTGAATTCTAGTCGGCACATAGTCTTAAATTAGAGATCACGATCTTCTGCTAGGTTTTGATAACTTAATTATATGTCAGTGCCTTTGAGCTTTCCAATTTTAGATGATTTCTAGGATACAAATTTTCCTTCTTCCTTTCTCTCTTACCAAAATCAGTATAACCATTTATTAACATCCACCTCTGACAACTAAATATAAGAATGCATTTCCTTTTGTTGCAGGCATTCTTGCTGATCTTTTTCTCAGAACTAGGGGACAAGACCTTCTTTATTGCGGTAAGGTTTAACGATTCATACTCCGGTAGTGCTTGAGTACCAAACTCTTTTAAATGTTAATGGGTGACCAATGTGAACTTAATATGTTAATGAGTATCATATTCATCTAAGTGCACAGCCTGTGCACTTGCATAGGCTTTTCCCATGACTAGTGAAACAGTTTATTAATTAACCCACTTTTCTACCTGACTCAACTTTCTAAGTGACTATTTGTATACCGTGCTCATCAGAGAGTCAGAAATTTCATCTTCCTTATTTGTCTCCCAATTGTCTTATCAACTGATGTATCAGAGTTTGTCCCATCCTAATGAAAAAGGTAGGATTAAAGGAGAGAGATACTAATGAGTAATGACTTAAGGATCAACCTAATTCTACATAAACTCTCATAGTTGACAACTTGACATATGTATATAAGGTTTTTAGCATTACGTTAAAGATAGAATGCTTTGATCGCATATAATTATGACTTTTGCTGTTTTCTGCAGGCACTTTTAGCAGCTAGGAATTCTGCTCCTGTTGTTTTTATTGGGACCTTTGGTGCACTTGCGTATGTTATTCTGTTTGTGCATGGTGATACAGATGTTCTTTTGCATAATCAACTTCCATTTTGTGTTTTTTATCATAAGTACTAAGAAGAATCTGCAATATGTTACGTCAAGTTACTACATGTTAAAACAACTGGACATCCATGTAAGTAAATAGGGGAAACCAACCTCTACCAGTCTACCTTGGCAAAGAGTGTGTGAACATTGCCAATAATAGGTCAAATTGTGAAGTTTAGTTTAAGTATGAATCCCACATGGCAAAGTGATACTTTTGAAAGCTGATAGCAGTGCATAGCATTTCAAATCTTATCAATCGAGTAACTGTGTTTTGGCCAAACCCATTTCTTGCAATCATGGTGATTATGAAGGTTGTTGGGTTCTATCAAACACACACACAATCCTTATAAAGGTGATTTATATTATCAAGAACTATTGATTGTGTAGTTGCACCATATCCTTAATCTTAGATTTGCTTACTTACAGGGCAATGACCATCATATCTGTTGTTCTTGGACGAACTTTTCACTACGTCGATGAAATCCTACCATTCAGGTATTTGAGATTTGCATTTCAGTAGGGATCTTGGGCGTGTCCTACTACAACGATGAAATCCTTGAATTGAATAATCTAGTTAATTGTTCTTTATAAAGCATGTTTTTACGTGGTAAATTAATTGTGTCACAGCAATAATATATCTTTTTTTATCATCTAAAGAATTTGGGCGGATGTGTTATTTATGCTTGGTTAAAATAATTTATGGCGGGAAATTTCCAAATGCTACACATAAGTCTTTTGTAATGTTTTCTTAGTTGGTATTCATATAACTCTTGGGTCCCTGAGGCTCTTAATCATCCTATCTAGTAAATTTCACTTGGATCTGTCCATCTAATTTGTATGAAGTAATGGTATTATAATTGTTTGTGATCACTCTGATATAGTCTTTAATCACAGGTTTGGTGAGACTGATCTACCCATTGACGATATTGCTGCAGTTCTCCTTTTGGTAATTCTATCTTTTGATTCTTAAACCAGAATAAATAAGCATCCATTAAAACAAAAACAAAAATCCTTCTCCAGGAGAACTATTAAATGTAAGCAATTTCAGGTTTATTTTGGAGTTTCAACTTTGCGTGATGCCACCTCAAGTGACGGTTTGAAAGCAGAAGATGAACAAAGAGAGGTAATACTATAGTTTGTTCATATGCAAATTACCATGGATATATCAAGACTGATTTTTTTCACTTCGTCTTTTTTTTTCCTTTTGAAGCCACATTTCCTTTGTAAGGGTTAATCTTATTGTCATATATTCATTAAATCAGGCAGAGCTAGCTGTGTCCAAATTTTCAGGAAACGGTGCTGGAATATTAGCTGCTGCTAGCACTGTCATTAGCACATTCCTCTTAGTTTTTGTTGCTGAATGGGGAGACAAATCATTTTTCTCTACAATAGGTGAGTTGCACAGATCAAGATCGCGTGTTACTAGATTTTATTTATACTTGGTTGTGAAGTTACTGTTATATAAAGAAATCATCCTTTCGTGTTATATGTTTTAACGGAATATCACCCTTTGACTTTCCTTTTCTTTTAGCCTAGGAAGAGTAACAGGATATCTTGAAATTAAAGAGCTTGATTATTTAATTCACATTTTATTTATGGTCTATTTACCAGCTCAGCACACTGCCTTAAAATGTTATTTTGAGATGGTGAGAGTCTGGATCAATTACATGCGCACTTGGGTCCCACTATTTTGTAGATACATTCCCCCTTTTATAAAATTTTAAAAAATATTTATCTTAGTAAGACAATATTTTGTTTCATATGCAGCACTTGCTGCAGCCTCTTCACCCCTTGGAGTCATCGGAGGAGCACTGGCTGGTCATGGTGTTGCAACTTTGGTAATTCTTCTTTAATTGTAAAATAATTTAATCCAATATTTTTACTACATCAGTCACAAGTGCAAATTTATTTATTGACTAGAAGCTATTGGCTTTCTGAAGGTGCTCTTTGAAGTTATTAAAAGTAAAAATCTACATGGTTCTGCAAATCAACTATTTGCATTTGTATCATTTTTAATTCACATCAATTTTTTTCCCTTTTGAATCGGATAAACTTTTCTCACTCATATGTGTAATATATATGTGGGATACCTAACCTATTTTTCCCCTTTCCTTTTCTTTTTCTCTTTGGTGTGTAGCTTGCTGTTTTAGGAGGTTCTTTACTGGGCACATTCTTATCAGAGAAGGTAAAACTGAACTTCTAACCTTTCACTCATTTGCCAATACGCATCCTCTGTGAAAAGCAGAACCATCATGTGATTATGTTATTATCTAGAGTTTTTCCACTGGACACATCAATCCAATTGGAAAAAAACTTCAACCTTTTTGGCTAATGAAAATGACATTATCGTGTCGCTTGTAGTTGACAGCATGTTAATTGTTTTGAACAAGCATAAGACATAAAACTTCACGCTGCTAACACTAAAAGTAGAAAAAGATGATTAAAGATGTTCTGAATTGGCCCTGAATTTTCCTCAATCTATCTAGATACAAAGCTCTTTCAAAACTTCTTGTCTGCTTTTTTGACTTCTGCTATTCTCTTCTTAAGTAGAAAATAATAGTGCAATGAAGGATTGGTTTGAATTCTATGGAATATAGCCTGTGGAATTCTTTGTATAGGCAATCTGTACCCTGAGAATATAAGTATCAAAATTATGTGGCGACCGTAAATAGGTCAACAGCATCCTGCTCTACATGCTTTTCAAAAGGTTCTTTAGACTAGCAAGTTCATTAACCAGATCAGTTCAGTTTTATGCCTCGACACTTTCCCAGGTTGAGCTACGGGCAGTTGGCCTACATGGGTTAAAAAATGAATTTTCTTATCTTACCACATTGAACCCCACAGCTAACAAAGTAACAATACATTGTATTGTCTCTTGATGGCCTAAGCATCATCTTGCTCTTGGAAATGACTTGGACACTAAGTAGTTTCTTTCTTTACTCAATGGTATAAATAAACGCGCAGAAAATAAATTACAGTCGTTTTCGGTTTCCTTCTGCAGGCCATTGCCTACACCGGAGGTGTTCTTTTTCTCGTCTTTGCTGCCGTAACGTTGGTTGAGATAGTAACTTAAAGGTAAAAAAGATCCCCAAAATTTTTTTTTAGTTGATCAAAACTCAGAAGTACATTGCTATGAACTTGTAGTTGATTGTAGCCATTGTTTAGAATTTTGGTTGATTGTAATTATTGTCATACTGGCTCAACTTGATCAGTTGACGACGTACAAACTTTGATTCTGTGCTTTGCAAATTAGCAAGGAAAAAGATTATGAGTTGTGCAGCTAAATAAAGTCATGTTGAATTTTAATTTCATTTTGATTTGTGGAACCTTTTTTTTGTGTTTTGGGGTTGTACTTTGTAGGGTGGGGGAGGCAGGATTGAAAATTGAAGATATTATTTTGAGAGATGAAAGAAGTTGCAAAAATGCAATGAACGTGGCACAGCCTAACCCATCAGTAGAAGCTTTTTTAGGGAGAATCAAAAGTCCTGAAAAAGGATGATTGTGGAGGCAGACAAATCCCACTCTCTCTGCCCTACTTTTTTCATGAGCCTTCCTTTCCACTTTGGCTCCGTACGGCTGCTGCCTCATCTGTCTCTCAAATGCTCCACTTTCTTCCCTTTCACTTCATTCATACAAATATCATAATATAAAATTCTGGCCCCTTTCCTTTTGTTCTAATTACCATCATTTTAAACACTTGCTTCAATAATCACTCTTTTTTTGTGTTTTGGGGAGGATAGGGGTGTTTATTCAACATGTTTATGTCCTTTTAAATCCCATTTCTAAGTGGATTTTTCCTTTTGGTTTTTTTTTTTTCAATTGTCCCATTATAGGTTTTGTTTATTCTATTAAGATGGTGAGAAAGGGGAATCAAACCCAACTAACATTTTCTCCCAAGATTGATAATAAAAATAGTATGAGTAACTTTATCATATATTTCACACCCCTATTAGCGTAATCTAGCAGGTGTTGAGTTTTATACAAGTTTCAGATCTCGGAGTTTAAATTCTTCAACAAAATCAATAACTTCGGATTATTGTAGTTATTATGTTATAATAAATTTAATAAAAGTGGGTTACGTGCACTACCCCTTTCACCTTTGCTAATTGAACGAATTTTGAAGCTAAGAAGATTTTGTGGGGCCATTGTGCATATGCAGAGTTTGTCCCCAGAATGAGACGCAGACAGGCATGCAAATGCAAAGTCGCAACAACGATAATAATGAATATATTTTATTACTTACTAGAATAAAGCTGTTCTTGTTTTTATTGCTTAATTGGTCTTATCTTCACACGTGTACCCGTAGGAGCCGAATATGTGAGAGCATATTCTTCCTTTGAAGTCTGATGAAAGCACCTCGACCTCTCCACCAACATTTCTAATCCTTAAAAAGAGAAGATCAAAACTGTGAAACCATGAAGTGGAACATGAACATGAACGGTGTTTACACTTGTTTTTACCAGGAAATAAACACGTGTATGCCTTTACTCCGACTTTTAAACATCATATTTAGGTCCTGTTTGAGATTGCTTTTTTTGGCCAAAAATCTGCTTAATTTTAAACTTAAGTAGTTTAAGATGTTTGGTAAAATTAAAATATCCCGATTATTTTAAAAGCAATGGCCTTTTGACAGCAGCTTTTAAAAACTGACTCTGGATTGCTTTTCAAAGCTGCTTTCAAAAGAAACAGATATGAACATTTAATAAATTTTTTTAATTCCCAAAATATTATCATTCATTTTTAAAAATGACACCACCTCCACTTCCACGTCCAACTCTACCACTTGCACCACCACATTTACTACCTTGACCGCCACCGCCACCACCACCACCACCACATCCTCCTCCTCCTCGTCCTCCGCCACCACCACCTCTAACATCACCTCCTCCTCATTCACCACCATCGCCGCCGCAGCCACCGCCACCACCACCACCTCCAAAACCTCCATATCCACCACAACCACCATGCTGCCACTACCACTACCACCACCACAACTGTCATCCCCACCACCACAATCACTAACTCCGCCTTCATCTCCACCACCAACTCCACTTCATCACTACCACTACCACCACATGATTAGTGCATAACACTTTTAACATCATGTCTATTTTAATCATTATTCACAGTTACAACAATTTTATATTAAAATTTACCAAACGGTTTTAACACTGTTTTTTGTACTAACAGCACTTTAAAAATAGTGTTCACCAAACATGAAGCTGTTTTACTTTACAGCTAATTATTTTTAAAGCACAGCAGAAGCTACTTTTTTTTAAAAGTGACAGCAATCCCAAACTAGGCCTTACTAATTACATTATTCATCGCATTTCTTAATAATATTTACATAACTGATAATCACCGTAACGAGATACGAGTATTTAATCTACTACATTTATGTTCGTTGTTGAAATTTGAGCAAAATATGATCAATAATGTAATCAGTAGAGATATTTCGTGTGATATTAGACTAATCTTTTATTTTAATGAAAAGCTTCTGTGCTAATCTAGATATATGCAAAATCTCAATGATGCATGAAAAGGAAGTTAGGTTATTGTTCAAAAGGTACTTTAGAAGGTACGTTAATTTACATGTCTGACCAATCCTTATAAAGGTCGGTGATGGATCTTCATGCACTCCCACGGACCACCACCAAACGTGATCTGACGGTACAAAACTCAATTCTAGATTCTTATGTGTCAAGATCGTGTGGCGGATAAAAATAAGATAAGGGATTAAATTCTTGACCTTTTTGAATAATTGAATGGTTAAAGTGATTAAGAAAATTTTGACTTTTTTGGGCCAAATAAATTTAAATAAAGTGCGCTTGATCTTGTCCCAGCAGCCAGCACCACTCTTTCTGCGGAGCATTTTCCCAACTTTGGGTAATCACCTTCTACTTTCTTTCCCGGAAAAGTGGTCGTCGTAGAAATTTACCAAATACATATGATTCTGTATTCGAACATCTTCTCTCCCGAATTACTTTGTAAAAAAGTCTCTATTGTCTTACTCATTTTCTATTTTAGTCTCTATTATTTTAATTTGGACAATTTTAATCTTTTGCTTCCAAATTGTAGACTTTATCAAACTGATAAATAAAATGCAATATGGTAATATGCGCCATTACATGTGATAGTATTTTGCCACTCCAAACATTTGCAGTCAACTTAAAGCATAAGTCGGAAAAAAAAAAAAAAAGATTTTGATTTTTTGTAAAAAGTTTGACTGTTGACTAAATAAAGTTCCAGGATCGAAATTGCCAAAATTAAAATTGCATGAACTAAAATGAAAAATTAGTATTAAAATGCAATTTGGTCTTTGCAGGAAGGTGTGAAGTTACGCGGCTATCCTAGAGCGTGGAGAGGCCTTTTCTTATATTAATCCCCAAAGTCGCGTCATTAAACTGGAAACCGCGAGAGCGAAAACCGTCCGCGGTTGGCCTCCGGGATTTTAAGCGTGTGGGGGCCTCACACGAGGAGGAGACGGAAGAAGAGCACAAAGAGCGGTGACGAGCCGCTGCTGACACGAAAAACAAAGGGGTCATGTCACCGCTGACGTGTACAGGCCAATTATCTCTCGATTTCGTATCGCCACACGACGTCGTTAATCGCTGGTCCCGAAGCCAAGCTTTCCGCATCGAAACGCACACACACACAAAAAACTAAACTAACGTTACCGCCTGATGACCTTTTTGGCTCCATGCGGCGGTTTAATGTACTTGTGCATAAAACCTGTACACATTCATCGTTATCTGCCCTCCCCATCTATATTTACCTTTGGTTTAAAAACTAACCATGGTTACCACTCGCTAGGGCTTTGAATTGTTCAACTATTCAATTATCTTTTTATAACCCTTTTGTACAAGGGAGTTTTATTAAATATTAGAAGAAATATATCATGGAAGATCAGGAACACCTCAAACCACAAAAATATGTCCTTTTGACTTAAACTAAAAGTAGCGAGCCGGTGTGCAACACCACTAACTTCTCTATGAACAAAATCAAACCAAAACTCAGGGACTTGTTGCAGCAAACTCTTTATATGCTCAATGATTCTGCCTACCCTTTGTCCCAGTCTTAATTGCTTAATTATTGACTAAAAATATCTTAATTGCTTAATTCAGTCCAAAAAATTTGCATAATTTTATTGGAGTTTGACTCACTCTACTAACTTTTGTAGAGGATTGATGGACGAAAATTGAATTTGATTCAGCTTATTATGTTATTATAATATTTTGGAGGTGATTTATAGCATGGAACAAGGGCGGAACTAGAATTGTAAAGTTGGGGGGCCGAAATAGAAAATATAAGTATATAAAACACCTAAATATATTCAATACTTATATGTTTAGAGTTAAATATTTCTAATTAAGTCATATCTAATTTGTTTTAGAGGACATTTTAACTCAAATTCTAAGTTGTTTATTACAAATTCTATATATTATATATAATATAATAGATGAGTTATAAAAATATGGGGGGCCAGGGCCACTCCAGGTCTAGGAGTGGCTCTGCCACTGGCATAGAATTTGCATCCATTCATTTCTCTACAACAAACCACAAAGGCAATGCGTATAGTTCATGAAAAGAGCATGGTTGTTTTCAAATATGATATCGACGGCGGAGCTTTTTAACTGATATTGCAACAGGTGTTTAAGAGTTATTGGCTTTTTTCATGGAGCTTAAGGGGGCCACGACCATTGCAGGCCTATATGTGGCTCCGCCCAGACAACATAGTTTTATGGAAATATGTTCACTTCCAAGTGACTTTAGTATCACTGAAATGTTATTGAACACTTAATTTATTTTGACTGTTAAATTAACTATGACGATTTAAGACAGCTCAAGTGAATGTATTAATCTTGTTTTTATGGTTAAATTCAACTCAGAAGTTAAAATTAATAACCCACTTGATTCATCTTAAATTGTCACATTGGTTACCAACTTCAAAATTTACCTTTCGAAGTAAACTTTACAACTTTTTTTTTTTGGGTGTAAAATAGTATACCCTTGAAAGGGAATACTATGCCAAAGAAAACTTTGTTAATTTCATATATAAATTTATTCGATTGTTAGGTTAAATTCTAATCAAGAAGATTATAGTTATATTTATATTTTAATTAATGTTGTGACTTCTATTAGTTTAAAATAGGATTTGTGCTTCCACTTTGTATATAATTAAACACTGAATTTCCACACCCAATAATGCTATTGTTAGTATAAACAAAATTAACATCCTTTTTTCTTGGCTCTATGTTAACCTTTATTGTATAATAACACTTAAGATGACAAGTTTAAACATGTTTAGTGATAAATTAACGATTAGAACTTTGACATTTGATTTTGGATGAGACGACGAAATTCGTAAACTATTGTAAATGACTCTTTACACAAACCAAATTCCACATACACATATACAATGGTGGTGTGAACACGAACATTCCACACATCATTTGGATATGCATGACAAATAATACGCCTAGTAATTCAAGTGATAAAAAATGAGGACAAAGACTTGCGATCTTGTGCTTATATTATGTTTCTATTGGTTTTGTATTTATCATCAAAAGTAGGCATCCATTTGGATCTCCATTCCTAAAACAATGCCATTTTAAGTATGTGGAGATTTCTCACTCTTGTAACAGGAAAAATT